CATACCGTTGACACTCTGTTGGGCTTTTTGCTGTCTTTAAAAGAGATGACAAAAAGAAAAGGTAGACAGGTAATAAAAAGAGAAAAGGGGGCAGCATCAGGTGCATCCAGTCCCTCCTCTGCTGCCTCCTTGATCTGTCATTTCGCTGTCGGCAGGAAGCTCAGGTGCTTCGCTGTCATCAGAGGCGTTTGTGGTTTGCTGCCAGGACTTGTGATTCGTCCGGGGCCGAGCCCACGGGCCCCCTGGGTATTTTTAGTCAGGTGAGTGGATTGCACTGACAGGGGTCACTCATTTGGTCTCGAACAACATGGGAGAAGTGTCATTTGTAGTCAGCATGTGCCCAAACTCCTCTCTGAGGTTTGTGGGTTACGCAACTTGTGCTATTTTTACACGTCAGTAATGAACAAACTGTTTTGGAAAATAAGACATCAATGTTGAAAGACTTTGCCTCTGGTGCAACAGCAAAATATGATTATCTACTTTAAATAAATGTGTGTGTGTGTCTGTGTGTGTGTGTGTGTGATGGATGCCTGCTGAATAATGCATCACAGAAGATCACAGCTTCAACTGGTGCAGAAACTCATTGTCTGATATTAACGGAGAAACTGCAGGACTTGACATGAAACACAGTACTCATAGTGGAAGTCAAAGAAAGAATTTCATTGTACAGGACTGTATATGTGTTACAATAAACACTTTGAACATCTTAAAGATGGTCTTCAACAGATCCAAGTCTTAGTGAATCACTTGGGGGTTTTTTGACCATCAGTTGAAAGATAATTTTCTCACACTGTCACAAGAACAAAGCTGTCACTCAGAGTGGGGTTCAGAGGTTCTTCGGATGCAAACGTCCCAAAGATAGAAAAGACTTGGTAACTGTCCATGAGTCTGTGTGTGAACGAGCTGCAGTTCAAACTTGTGTTTTGAATCTCCTCCGTCAAGTGTCCCACAGATCTGAAAACCAAAGAGCGTCTGTTGTAATTATTACTCAGATTTTCTGTTCCTATTTTTATTCCCTGGCTTCTTCTGTGGAGCTGAATCATTGTGTAGGGAAGGGGGTGGGGTCAATAGTGTAACAAGGAGAGAGAGGGAGCATAAGACGATACAGAGGGAAGAAATAGATGGTGCTGGGGTAGTGTGGTCCCCGGGGCTGATCTGTTTTAGATGGTCTTACTCACCATCTCCAGGGTTTATTTTTTGGCGAGAGCGATTTCTGTTCCTTTTCTTGTTAGAATTTGTTGTTAGATTGTTGTTAGAATCCTTTTTGGATTCTGATGTCAGATCATTTAATACCATATGTGCCCGATCGTAACCTGAGGTCCTCCCTGCTCACCAGTTCACAGTCCCCCGCTGAGGACGAGAGGAGACCAGGCCTTTTATGTCAGCGCCCACACTCTTTGCACCAATCTCAGGAGATCTGTGTAGCAAACTCCTTATTATTATTTTAAATATATTTTATAGGTGTGCTTTCTCCTTATTCTCTCTAGATTTTAAATAATTGTATAATGTTTACTGGTATATTTTTACTCCTATCTCACCTTAAACTGTTTTTATTTCTGTATATTTGCTCTATTGCTGTATGATCTAAAAAAAGCCTTTGAATTATTTCTAATTGTTTGATTTTTAGGCTGAATTCATTCGTTCTGGTACATTAGGTAATGTGGGTAACTTAAGCTCCAGTCTGTTTATTTCCTTCTCTAACACAATCTAGTCGACAGGACTTTTACTATAGTTTAGCATAGACATCATGTGAATGAAATCAATTTACTTCATGGGGTGATGTCATATAAAGGAGCAGGGTAAGTGTCACTCAGAAGTTCCCCCTTGGAATTCCCTGACAAGGCTCATGACATAAGATAAATAAGACAATGTTCATCATATCACATTATGTTTGTGATGTATTCAATGTGTTGATCTTAAGTGGAAAACAGATTTTGGAATAAGTCACAAGTAAAAATAAAAAGATGTCCCAGATTACACCAGTTCACTAGACCTGTTTCTTATTGTTTACCTTGAGTTTTTTTTAACTTGTAAAGCAGCTTGTTATTGTGTTTTGAAATTTGCTATATTAATTCATTTGTTATAGTTATTGTTATTTCTCTTCCTCTATCTCTTTATCTCTGTCTTTCTCTGCTCACTTCACTGTTTTAAGACTGGTCTGATTAGACTGTTTTCCCTCAGCGACCATTACATAGTCACAATTAAATGAAGAAATAGTTCAGTATCATGTGAATTGATGATATGAGGTCTTGCAGTGCTCCTCATTCTGAATGTCTGGTTTCTTTTTATTCCTTTTCATTTTTCTGATTCACAAAAATTAAGAAGCATTGTCCTTTCTTTATTCCCTGCTAGAATTCCTCTTCTCACCCTCCATCTCTCCTTTTCTATCAACTCTTCTCACCTTTATCTGTCACTCCTCATTCATCCCTGCTAACACCTCCCTCGTTATCCGGCTCTCCCGTGTTCATCTCAGGGAGGAGAGGGAAGAGGAGGTGAGAATGAGAGTCTGGCAGGAGATTCTCCCAGCACATGTTGGACATGTGGGCGAATCCCACTGCGACATATTACTCTCTGGTTCTGGAAATATTATTAACACTAAAATACTGGTGCTGTTGAAATAAAGCTGAGTTACTTTGATGTTGTCAAATTGTCTCCTCGACAATAATAATTATAACTGCACTTTTAAAAAACACGGTGCTTCAAGAGGTTTTTAAAAAACAAAGATAAAATATGATGGACACATTTTTTGTGAATAGATACACAAGTAAAAGAAACTTGAATTAAAAAAATGTTTTTAATAAAAATATTGTATTCCAAAAGAAGGTAACTCCACAATTAAGGAGCCTTTACAGCAAAGTGTCCACCGCTCTCTTTTTCAAGCCTTAACCTTGCATACATCTCTATAATTATAGTCGCCATCAGGAATTTTTTTTCTGTATAGAATAAAGAAATAGAAGATGAAATCCTCGAGAGGAGAGATTTATCGCTGCAATATTTGAGGATTTAAAGTCAGAGACCTCTGAAAGATCTCGTTTGAAAGACTTTTAAGGGAGCGGGGGATGATTTCATGCGATTAATCATCCTCAATAAACTGGACAGAGATATCTGATACAATGAAATAAAAATCTGAATTAAAAATCAAATGATTAATGGCATAACATGGGCTCTGTCTCTCCTGTGGTACAAGAACATCACACTTCCCTCAGTGCAATCTAAGGAATCATCCTAAATGTCCACAGCTCCCTCAAATCATAAACTCATCATCTCAATTCACGGAATCTAAATGACATTTGAATGGTTCAGGGTTGTGTTATTATACTCAGAATGATATCGTTATCCTATACAACATTGTCTTTGCTTTGAAACCTGTCATACATAGGCACAGATTTATCTTTCTTCAAGTGGGTGATGATGCCGGACCACCACACCAAATATAAACCTTATGCTAAAACCATAGTCTACAAAAAGGCGAACCCACAGGCCAAAACAACAGCTGTTCTCATTGGATTTGTTTTCACTCACCATTTACGGTTACTCTGGATCATCTGGAGCGACACTGATTGGTGGTTAAGGTTTGGATCATGTGACAGACGTGTACAGTTGTGGTTGATCCAGTTGATCCAATTTAGCACCAACTGTGAAGTTTGATATCAAATCAATGTAAATGTAGCACTGACCACACATGTAGCTAACGTGGGTGCTTGGTATTCTGGTGTGTATTGTGAAAATGTATGTTTTTGTTTGGCCCTGTCTAAAGCAGTCTGACTTATGGGAGTTAAACCTGCCGACCTTGTTATCACATGAACTCTGCCTGAACCCAATTATTGCATATTTGACTACAAGAGTAACCGTTTCTTTCAGTCCACCTCACAGACACTCTTTCTATCTTACTGATGCTCCACGTTGCGGCATCCTGTCTGACTGTGACATTGTGGACCCATTTGCAAATGTTACAATAAAAGACAAGAAAGATATTTGTCTCTTTTGGGAATCTTTACTTCCTCCTCCCAAATCAAAAAGTGAGAATTAAAAATGACAGGGAGGATAGAGGGAGCGATCAGCGTGACAAAGACGCTGGAGATGAATTGGTTGTCTAAAGGGCAGGCAACATGCTGAAAATGTCACATGGAGTTGCTCCTGTCTGCTGAAAAACAAGAACGTCACCATGATACTGATAATTGTCTACCTTGTGGGGACAAAAGACAAGTCCCCACAGTGTGTGGGTGTGTGTGCATTAATAATGTGCACGCAATACATTTATCCTTTACATCTATTCATGCTTGCTCTCAGCCATGTGTGTGTTGAGGTTTCCTGTGTGTGTGTGTCTTTGGAAGGTGGCAGTGATTAATTGCACAGTCGGCATCGAACAGGCATTGTTTAATTAAATCATCTGATAATGTCAAAGTTTATGTTTCCAGGGAGACAAGAGGTTGGGCCTCCTGTATCCCCTTCAGCTATTACCCACTATTAATCATAACATGTGCGTGTGTTGTGTGTTGTGTGCCAGTGTATGTGTGGAAGCAGATTTGATTCTTCCTCAGGGTAAATAAGAATCAAAGGGCAATTCTAGTTTAATGGCTTTTTTTTTTTTCTGAAAATGTTTTTTAGATATTGCTCTTTGCATTGCAATTTCTCACTTTGGCACCCAGAGCTGTTTTGTGATCTTGGTCCATTTCACACCTGCAGTTTGATAGAATAAGCTTCTGAGATGAGTAACGTGTTCTTAGAAGAAGTGCTGGAAGAAGGTGTAATAGAAACACACCACCTATGTAACACTCTGTCTTCCTTTTATTTTATTCTCAGGCCGATGTGATACCAATATTAAAAGTTAAAAGTTTAAAATACCGATATATTGGCAATGATTCCTGTGATGTCATTATTAAACACTTATGAGAAAGAAATATAGCCGATGCTTGATTTTTTACTGTTTGACCATAAACTAAAACACTTGAATTAAGAGTTACATATTTCTCATCAGCCTTTTCCTCTGCTCTGCTCAGGGTATCACCACAGCCTCCCCTCCTCTCCCTACTCCTCCACGGCTGGACCTGATGGCCAGAGGTTACCATCGTCTGGAACCCTCTCCTCCGAGTACCTAAACCAGGGCGGCTCCATGAAGCTCCTCTTCCTCATCTGTAACACAGCAGGCTCTGGCCAGCAAGCTGTCAGGTGGGCTGCCCCTGGATGATTTTTTTTTTTTTTTCTTGATTGCATTTTTATTAATTGGTTTTGCAGCTTTATAAAGTCTTTGACTAGCCGAGCTTGTTTAAAACTATTACCGGCTTCTTTTGGCCAGTAGTTTTTATTCTTACAGTCTACATTATCTGAAGCATGGGTTGAGTACATGTACACATATTTTACCTCAGTGTACAGTGTTTGCATAGGGTCAGTGAGTTCCTGCTGGGTTTTTTTTAGAGGCACATTAAGTGTGTAAATGATGCACTTCCAAACAGTGCAGTTTATTGCTGCCTGAAATCACTGTAATGTTCCTGAACCCATAAGGAGTTCATGTATTTTTGTATCAGAGCATTATTCTAAATGAAGTCTTCATTTGACAAAGACTGTGTCCATGAAACTGGTTAGGACTGTAGTGATGATGCTCTGAGACAAACAGGGACATTTTGTACCAAGAGTAACATCACCAGCACCACTATTAAAGCTTTTAAATTATATGAAAGTCTCAGATTTCTCTATCATCAATAAACTATATAACCTAAGACTTGATACGTATATTTACCTTCTGGTGGTCATCATGTGGCTATATATCGGAGCTTTTAACAGACGTGAAACTGCTGCTGAGTTCTCAGAGGTAATGTTCATACATTTATGGGACCACATAATAGATGCTCCAATGAAAGGCTTTTTTTTTTATTGTCAGGATTTGACATTCGAGGACTCGTCTGTCCACATTTCACTAGACTCTCATCTGAGTTGTCATCTATACTTAAAATGAATGTATGCAACAAGCAGGTAATCTAGCTCCCACGAGGAGCCTCAAACAAAGTGTGTGGACACCTAAAAGCAACTTTTGCTGATAAACTGGACTTGTCTGTCTAGACAAGCAACAATTGCCTCTCCCATTAACCTCCCACACAACTTTAATGTGCTTTAACCACTGCAGAGTAGACAGAGTGAGTGTGAGCCTTTAGTGAACCAGCAGACAGAGACAACATTATGAAGCTCTGACGATAAAACAACATGTTTATTTGGCTCCTCACTGCTCCCACAGTAATGTGACTCAGGCTGTCGGTACAAGGTGAAACCTTTACTGCCTTGTTCTCAACTTTCAATAAGCTCAACCTCCTTATTATAGTATATATTGTGTTTTCTCCTGTGGACCTCTAGCTAAAATAATTGATCTGAATAGAGAATAATAAACAATTGATTGATTTCACATAATAAAACAAAATACTGTCCAGATTTTCTACCAAGAGCCTATGATTTTAAAACATGGACTGTATGTAAAGATGGATGACGCGTCTCCACTTTCTCCCCAGAAATGAAGCTAAAATATTTCAGATATAAACACCGCCATCTTTCACATCTGGTGTCTGGAGTCTGGCAGCAGCAATTGAGATGTGGACGCTTCGGCTTCACTTGAGGGGAACAGTCATGTTATCTATCTTTATATACAGTGTGTTAAAAAGTAACATAACTTGTTTATATAATAATTTTTGTTTGTATTTAAAATGGAGTCCCTCCTCTTGTTTCCTCTTGTCTCGTCTCCTCTCTCCTCTACCCTTCTTCCTCTCCTCTCCTCCGTCAGGTTCGGACCTCCATTTCTCATGCGCGAGGACAGGAGCATCTCCTGGGACCAGCTGCAGCAGAGCATCCTCAGCAAACTCTATTATCTGATGCTGAATGGATCTCAGGCTCAGGTAATGGCAACACCCTCAGTATTCAGAGACACGTCGCCCACTCTATCCCGTGTCTTCAGCCCTTCAGCTCACTGGTTCATGAACCTTCTCTACTCTATGGGGCCAAATTTAAAAAGCCACAAGTAGAAGAGTGTTCGGTGGTATTTTGATTAATTTTAATTAATGTTGGGTTTTGTGTTTAAATAGCTAGTTGTCATTTTCTGTTTTCAATTGTGTGAGTCACGCCGGGAGCTATTTTTAAATGAGAGACAAAGGTTAAACCACATATCAATGAGATTCTGTTTGATGCTTGTTTTTCAGGCTTTTGGTGATGAATTTTTAATCAGAGCTCATTGCACCTCTGACTGTGAAATAGATTTAAGATGCTGAGCGAATGGTTGTGGAGGTTTCAGTAGGTAAAACTCAGAGGTGGCAAAAGTATGTGGTAAATTCTTTTCTCAAGTAGAAGTACAGATATTTTAGTCAAAAACGATTCAATTAAAGGTAAAAGTACTGATTCAACCTCTTTACTCAAGTTGAAGTAGAAATTTAAAGAAATATACTCAAGGGTAAAAAGTTGCCCACTGAAGGTCATTTCTACCGACTGCATCTGTGAATGAAGTATTCTTCACTAAAATATGGAATGTTTAGTTGCTCTGCTTCGTCGTCGACATAGACTGATTCTTCACTTTCTTCCATGTTGTTACTCCTTTTTTCAGGAGGAGCAGCACACATGCTCCTCTCCTCAGCTGAGTCTGTTTTCTCCTGGTTGATATCTGTCTTGATGTTGGAAAGGAAGAGCTCAATGATGCAGAATTAAACAAAAAAGCTGATCATTTTCCCTCAGATACATTAAAACAGACGAACCTGTTTTGAAAATGTAATGAGTTGAAAGTACAAATATTTGAGTTAAAATGTGGGAAAAAAACAAGTACAGTACAGTAACTAATAATTTTTACTTTGTTACTTCCCACCTCTGGTGACACTAAACTCATTTTACATTGGGCCATAGTGACTTTTGGCTCCTGATTATTAAATAACCACTTTTAGCCAGATTTGCTGCTGCAGTCCTGAACCATGCACCTTTTTCCAAATCCAGAATAATGGTTGCACCAATTTCCAAATTCTAAGTTGCATAGTTCCTTTTGTCTGTGTTCTTTTGGTTTTTCCCTGACCTTCATTCAATCAGAGGAGTGTTTAAAGTTTAATCACAAAAATTAATTAAGACGAACCATACGGTAGAGTGGCAGAGTACAACTGAGGACATTGCACTCACACAGAGACAGTACAAGCCTTTTATGAGAGAGTAATAATGGTTTTATGTGCTGTGCATAAATTCAATTATATCACCGCCCCCTGAAACCACACTAACACAATTCTCTCTATTGAAGAATACAGAGTTAAATTAGAAAGCTGCTTTGAAGTATTATTTTAAAAAATGTAAGATTACAGCTGCATTTCTAAATCATTTTTATCAATATCATTTACACAATTCTTCTGTGTTGAAGTCCACCTCTACCTCCTCATCCTCTCTGCATGCTCTGACCAAAGATGTTCCAGTGCCACGCCTTTCAAGATTATCACTTTCACACAGATAAAACTGCAATTTTCTCTTTCTTTTTTGAGTTTTGACCAACTAGATGATAAAAGAAGTAGTATGGCATGTATCTGTCTGCTCTTTAACCTGAGCCATGCCATACAACACTGATAGCAATCATCCCTTCCATACAGGGTTAGTAGCATTCAGCTGCTCCTTATACAAGTACATTTTTTAAAATGCTCTGGCTTCGGATCAGTACTCGGTATCAGCAAAGCGCAGGTGTCTGCGTTTAGAAGGGAAATATGGTATTGGAACATCTCTTCCTTTGAATCTAGTTAAAGTGATCTTTACATCACAAGCCTTAAACCACTGCTCGACTCAAATACACAAACATATACAAACCCACACACACACACACACACACACACACACACACACTCTCTCTCTCCCATCCGCCAGTCAACGAGTTGCCATGGGCAACTCCATGGTGACCAGCAGTATTTGAGGTGTCCTTATCCACAGAGAGCAGCGCTTCTTTTTATATAAAGAACTAAAGAGGAGAAGACAAAAAAATCGGACTTTTTCACTGATCCGTTCCTTAGTTACGGCCTCAGAGCCTGTCTGGACAAATACAAAGTCAATGAGTCGACACTTACCCTCCTCCTCTTAAAAAAAGAAATTTAGTTTTCTTTGGAAATCAGATGGAACTTGTAAGTTAACATTATAGTTATCACATATTTCAGTGCTGTTTATATTCTCTATCGATTTGTGTGAGTTCATTCATTCACTTGGACTTTGCTTCATTTTGTCTTCATTATAAAATGTTTTGGTGACACCCAGAGGTTTGTTTGGCAAAATACACATTTGGGTATGAAATATTTGTATGAACATCGCCTGAGTTGTAAGTGATGAAGATCTTTTAAAAAACAAATTGTAAAATTTAACCTTAATTAATTTTTGAATTTAATTTTGTTTATTGTAGTTTTTCCTCTTGTGAAGCACTTTATAACTTAGTTAAGAAAAGTAGTATACAAATAAAGCTGTTGTTAGTATTATATTTATTTGTATTTATTTATTTAGACACCACACACTCTTATTTAATACTATATCAATCTATGTTCTGGAGAATTTTGTGATTTAAAAAAAATTGATATCCATAAATTCTGGGAGGTCAAAATAGTTAATTAATAGTTATTCATTTTAAAATATGTTTTTCTTTTCTTTATAAAAACCTCTTTTATTTAAAGTGACTAATGATGATTTTTTTTTTAAACTTCTCGTTTTCACTTTTGTCTTACCAATACAAACTGTCTTCACAATTTGACCAGTTTATTTAATAACATGTGATCCTGTCTATTGCTTCAGTCATCACCCCTTTCGTTCCAATATTCAACTTGGCTCGGGAGTAAAAAACGATAAAATACAAAAGATGCATGCAGTTACTTTTGGACATAAATGTTTTGCAGATTCAGCTCCACACTACATAATCCAATTCACATCTTTTTGCACTGTGTGTGAGCCTCCTGAAAGTTTATTGTTTTTTTTAACTTGACATTAGTCTTTATTATCTATATATTTTATTTATTTATTCAAGGTTGTGCTATGTAGTGTCACATATTCTGATCTATTTACATCTACCCAGCACTTTGGGCAGTTTGTGGATACCACAGTGTCTCCATCTTTTTTTCAGGCTAATCATCCTGAAGGAGGCTTTGGATGCGTATCTCCAAAGTTAATTCAGAAATTGCGGCAAACTCTTGTGTGATTACTCATTAGCTCGATGCTTCTCGTCGGCTCTCCTTCCATTAAGTCCCATGGAGAGATAAGACCGACTAAATGTATGCTCTCTCAGGCCCTTACAACCAAAAAGAGGGATTGTGCCTTTTTAATTTGCTTCTTTAGTCTCCTATTAAGCAACTCATTTATTTCTATTTAAGCCTGGCTACGGTTTCTATTCTCTAACGGCAGTCTGCTCAGAATGAACACATTCGCAACTTGATTCTGCTTCCTTCTCTGTATCACTCAGTGCTCTTGTTCTTGCTGCTTAAGCAGCAGAGGACTTGTTGTCATCTCAAAATGCAGCTTCTCTGTTCAAGTGAGGAGGCGGCAGAAGCAGCTGCCAGATATAAATAAGGGAGTGTGTGTGTTTTGCTGATGTGATGTTATGTGTAGAGGAGATCGTGCAGGAGGAAGTTTCATTCTGAATCACTGATGTTTACCAGTGTAGAAAATATGGAATCAATTTCGACATTACCAATCATTTTTCATCTCTGGGGTGTCACACACAGTTATCTGACAAAGTCTGAATTATTTGGGTTTATTCTATATTGATGTTTATTTTTTAAACTAAAAAATATACATTTACTTGAATATGCAACTGATTTTTGTCATTAATATTTAATTTTAATAGAGAAAAAAGTTTAAGTAAAATATACCGTTGGTATTGTCTTGCGTTAATATCGTGTATCTTTTTGAAATACCCTGTGTAATGTGAGATTGTTCTTTCTACTACAAGCATCTGACCAGTACTCGCTGAAGCACATTGTAATATGAAAATACCAGCCATGTTTTTTTATTTATTTAGCTTGTTCAAAATGCTGCTGCTTTTATTTGAACTCAAACAACCGTAGGTCTCATATCACGCCAATCCTTGCATCCCTACACTGGTTGCCATTTAAATTCAGGATTCATTTGATTCTTTTAATAACTTTCAAAGCTCAACATGGGCTGGCCCCCATTTACACTTCACAGCTCTTGACTCCCTACAATACTAGTCAAAACCCTAGATCAGCCAGCCGGTCCTTGTTGGCTGTCTCTAGGTAAAGTCTGGCTACTCAAGGTGACTGGGTTTTCTCTGTCAGGGCCCCGAGGCTCTGGAACTCCCTGCCTGATGAGACTAGGCTCGCCAACTCACTAACGACCTTTAAATCACTGCTCATAACATATTTTTCCAGGAAAACATTACTAACATGCAACTTGTAATTCTGGTCCTGCTGTGTTGTTTTAAATTAAAAGGCTGAAACACGTGATGACGCCACGGTACAATTATTATTTTCAAATGTGATGGTTACACAACTGTTTCTGGTCTCTGCGATGCACTTGGTTTTTTAAACTTCAAGGAAGTGCTTTGAATTCTTCAACTCTTGTCAGATTATCTGAAGTTAAACTGATGCTATAGTTTAATATGGAATATCGCAGCTCTTTAAAGACACAGCTGTAACGTTGTGTATGTGTCTCTCTGCAGAATGTCGGGGTGCTGTTCAAGATCCGAGTGGTTGCAGGAATGACATCCTACAGCTACCTGTCGCCACAGGACAGCAGGCCACTCTACCACCCTGCTGTTGACAGGTAGGACACACACTCGATCACACAAAGACGATCTGTAGTACGCTATGCTGCACTACACAACTAGCAAGATACTAATCTGGTGCCCTTCCTGCTTCACAAATGTACTGTAACCTTTTGTGAAAAGAGTCCTAAGTCCTATACTGCCTCCTGCTGGCTCTATTCAGGCACTATCCCAGTCCTGAAAGAGAATAGATCCACTATGTCAATGCAGAGACAATCTCCTGTTGTGTGCCTCCAACGTAAAACAATGTCTGCACGTGATTTTCTGGTTATTTTCTGGACTTTAAATGTGAAGGGAGCTGTATATGCCTTAGACCCTGTTCAGACCCAGTATTAACATCCATCCTGAGAGATCTGATCACAAGTCAGCGCTAAGTACAGGTCTGAACACATCTTGATATTGTTTAAATATATTTTTTATGCCTCTCAATGTGGATGTGTCTGTTTGTTTCTATCCACCGCCTCAATATAAGCTCTGGTCACTACCATACTTTCCAAAATCTTTCCTCTAACTGCGCACATTCATTTATTCAGTCCCTCTGGATCACATCGACACATTCCAACACACACTTTGTCATAAGACACATCTATAAACTCAGAATGACTAAAAAGAGTCAGTGACTTTTTGCGCGCAGAGTGACAGAAGAACTTAATGCTGTCCACTTGTGATCGGATGTGTCAGGATGGATGAAACAAAGACATATATACATGCTGAAACACATATTTCCATACTAAGAATGCATTAATAACTGGGTTCTGCTCTGTAATCGCTCAGCCCTCTTATCTTAACTGCCGAGTTGTTATCCATCTCTAAATGCAGTTTCTCTCTGTGTGGAGGCGTCAGAAGCAGCTGCCAGATGTGAATAAGTTTGTGTGTTTTAATGTATTGATCCTGCAGGGGGTGCTAAAACATTAATTCTGAATAACTTACTTAAATCCACATAAACACCAAAATGAAGCCAAAACTGAAATTATTGCATGTGTACATATTCATAATTGTAGTCAACCGGTTTTCTAGTGCATCAGACAAAAAGCTACAATTCCTTTTAGCCACTGGACGCTAAGAGGATTACAGGCAACAGAGTATAATGATGGCAGTTTGGCAGCATGAAGATAAGGCCTTTAGTTCCTGTGTGATAGAGAGCATCAAGGTGTCTCTGCACCGCTGAGGAGCTTAGTATAAATCTCTGCTGAGCTGCAGCGAAGGTCAGACTTCATGCAGGACCACACAGGAGCAAGGAAATGAGATCGTTGTCTGTGTGTCTGTGTGTGTTTGTGTGTGTGTGAGAGAGAGATAGAGTGTTTTTAAAATGTAATTTTGCTCGCACGCAATACCTACAGGGAGGATCAACATTAATATGTATAGGACTGATAAAAATATACCTGTGTGCATGTAACTGGTGGAACAACATCTACATTGTGATTTATTTGATGGAGAGGCCGGACCATGCATGTCTATGGAGGCGCTCTCAGTTTATTCTGACAAACCAAGCCAAAAACATTCGTTTGGTTGATATTTTCCATATGTGGAGCCCCTACACAAATTAAACATCAGATAACAAGTAGATAACTGTATATTATAACTTTCTACTAATAAGTAAAAACACATTAACAGAGAAGCTACAATAGAAAAAAACTTGTATGACTGAATTGCTGTTTTCAGTAGAGTACAACAATATAAAGGGGAGGGGTGAGGCAGGAGAGGCAGCCTTATAAGCAGGGGTCCCCAAAACGTTATTTCACTGAGACGGTTATCACAGGGAAAGAAGTCAAATGAAACCCAACAATCTCACACAAAGCTGAGGATCGGTGACTAAAGATCTAGAAACTGGATTGTTTAGTCCATTGAAGTTTTGATTTCTCATCCACCATGAACCACCTTATACTCCCATATCTTTATACTTCTACTCTTTCCTTTCAAATATCGTTTACAAAAGTATCCACAGTTGTAATATGAGAGAATGAATTTGTACTTTAGCGGGTTGTCCACTAACCAGAGCGTCAATGGATCAACCCCAGGTTCCTCCATTATGTGTTCTTGAGTCTGAACCCCACATTTCCTCTGCTGGTGTGTATGAGTGACGTGTGATAGAGAAAGTGTCCATGACATCAATGTAGACAAAGTTCCTCTTTCACCCTGAGATCGACATGAAGACAGGATGATCGTAGTCTTCGTCATCATCATGATACTACTCTTCTGTCAGGGCCCCAACACTATGGAACTTTAACCTGAGGAACTCCGACTGACAACTTCACTGTCTGTTTTTAAATAATCTCTCAAAAAGAACTTTTTATTATTTGTTATAGTTTTTCTCATTTGACATTTCTTTTAAATTGTGTATTTTATTTGTCTTCTTTGTTCGGTTTATTGGTGGGTGGCAACCAACGTCAAGGTGCATTACAGCCATCTGCTATATCCTCATGCCCCAGGGCATGCTGGGAGACCCTGCCCATCTACCCCCCAAAACACTACAGTATACAGTTTAGTATATTTTTCAAGGGCAACGTTGCCTATAAAAATAAATTCTTTGCTTTGACAAAGTAAATCAACATATTAACACATCACAGGATTTGATGCTTTCATGCTGGTGTTGATGCAGACTCCTGAGGGTAAAGGTCTGCATTTTAAACACCCAACATCGGCCATTTGTATATTAGCACATGAACCCAGGTCTAGTCTAGTGTGTGAGTATGTGTGAAATAAGAATAATAATAATAATAATAAAAAATCTTGGTTTTACCGTCACCAGAATAGCTTGTTAGATGTTGCTCGGCAGCAGCACAGATTTCAGCCTCCCTTGCTGTTTGTGGTTTCAGGGTTATGGAGATTATACTTTTCATCATCGCTGATGACCAAAGGTCAGAAGATGAAAATATAGATTTGAAATCACTGTCTTCTCCTGCTGCTTTATAGAGCGCTGAAGATCTGTGGCACCGGGGGGCCTCCTCACGTGAAGCTCGTCATAGAGTGGGAGCACAAGACTAAAGAATGGTAAGCATCATGCACATACGTGTTCGATCCTCAAGTATGTAAACAATCAGTTAGGCTGCATGCACACACACCATCAGTGGATGTCATCCTGAGTTTTTATTTTTAAACTGTTTACTCCTAGAACTAAGTACATGTGAAACATACGCTCCCATTGATTCAAACACTGAACGTGTGTGTGTGTGTGTGTGTGTGTGTGTGTGTGTGTGTGTGTGTGTGTGTGTGTGTGTGTGTGTGTGTGTGTGTGTGTGTGTGTTTGTTGTAGTTGGGGTAGTGGTTGTTGTGGTTGGGGTAGTAGTTGTTGTTGTTGGTGGGGTAGTGGTTGTTGTAGCTGGAGTAGTGATTGTTGTGGTTGGGGTCGTGGTTGTTGTGGTTGGGGTAGTGGTTGTTGTCGTTGGAGTAGTGGTTGTTGTGGTTGGGGTCGTGGTTGTTGTGGTTGGGGTAGTGGTTGTTGTGGTTGGGGTAGTGGTTGTTGTGGTTGGGGTCGTGGTTGTTGTGGTTGGGGTAGTGGTTGTTGTCGTTGGAGTAGTGGTTGTTGTNGTGTGTGTGTGTGTGTGTTTTCCAGTCTGTTTGGCACCATCCAGGAGGAGGTGGTGAAGGATGCAGAGAGTGTGAGGAACCAGCAGCAGCAACACCTCCAGCAGCACAGCTGTACCTTAGACGAGTGCTTCCAGCTGTACACCAAAGAAGAACAGGTGAGAGTGAAGGCAACACGACTGTCAAGTAAAAGTCTTGTTGTAGTCTCATCATCTTTGTATCTTAGAGTCTTTATATCCAAACATTAACTAAATGCACTGTGAGTTTATAGACAAACCAAACTCCCTCTGATGCAACAGGCTGTAAATAAATGCTTTACGTTTTGCAATAGGAAACAAACGTTACACATCGTTCTGTTTAGAGGTCGTGCACAGTACAAAGTTTTATTCAGTTTATTGGCTCAACAGGAGGCTGCATGAAATCTGATAAGATTAGCTTAAGTGATGTCACCTGAGTCTCTTATGCAATGGAATATTAAGGTCACTTAAAGGGAAAACAAATCTGAGATTTCAAGAATAACGTCATTATTTTATGAGAATAATGTCTCATTGAGTTGAATTTGGTTTGTTGTGGGTAATGCAGTTGAGCTGTAGCTGTTTGGTGTGTAGAGAAATCAGACAGGTGCAGGACAACAGGTGGCTGCAGGTGAAGGAGTTCATGTCAAAACTCCACACAGTTCATATTATACCATTTTTGATTCAGGGAAACTGACTGAGCATTGAGCTCTGAGATTACATGCTCTATACACAGATATTATCTTCCTGTAGAAGTGATCAGAGGGGATTACTGTACTGGAACTGACTCCATATCCTTACATCCATCACCCATACCCCTTGTCCCTTAGCGTGGCTTCATGATTCAGATGAAAAGGTTCTCAAGAGAGTAATCTTTCTGTCTACACAAATGCTGTGTAGATGTTCATTTGAGTTTACACAGCATAAGGTGGGAATTTCAGGGGGCCTTATGAATCGGTTGGTAAATTTTATTTCATTCAATCTTTATTTAATCAGGAAGTCTTGAGATTTTGATCTCTTTCTCAAGAGAGACCTGAGGACGAAGGAACATGCACAACGTGAAAAACAGCACAACAAACAAAGAACAATCAAAACAGCATCACAAACAAGAACAACACCACAAGGAATAAATAAAAAGTAATTACACAGAAATATTTGAAAACATCTGGAGAGTGGGATTTTAGTTTGAGGGTTGATTGTAGCTCATTCAATGTAAATAGTGCGTTTAACCTGAAACCAGATCCTCCAGTGTTTGAGCACACTATAGAGAAATCTGGGCTTATATAGTTACTAGTTCCTTTACTGTTGTTACTAGTTTGAACATTTTTATATGATGTTGTTTGGTTTCAACAGTGCACATTTAGAAATCAGTACCATGAGAGCTTCTTCTTGGATACAGAATAACAGTGACCACCCATTTTTAGAACAGCGCTGGGTTTTTTTTGGTTTTATGCCTGAAACCAGCGATGCGATGAATCATGACCAGAAAACATTTGTTCCAGAGAAAAACAAATTGGAAAACTGAAAAAGGTAAAGTTGCAAGACTGAGTACATGATTATTATAAGAACCACTTGATTTTTGTGTCAAATGTTGTATTTAACTCTTGAATGATAAACTGCTTTCCAGCGTAATCGCTCAGTATCTGTAGGACAAAACCTGAGTAATTGGGCTGCTATTGGTGGCAGGATATTCAGGTTCACTGGTGGAGGGAGAGAATACCAAATACTGTATTTTCATTTAAAACTAGTATGTGATTATTGAGTGTAAATTGAAAAGCAATCAACAGGCAGACTGAAGATAACTGGGCTGGACACAGATATAAGTGTAGAGGTAATTGAGGGCCACAATTTTCATTGCAATCATAACAAGGCATTTAATTAATAACTTAGTGAAAATGCAAATATGTATGAAAATGAATTATCTATGAATAAATAGGCAAAGAAATTAAATAATGAATCACTTAGCAATAAAAAGAGGAATTATAAAAATAATAAAAAAATGAGATACTGCATCAATAAATAGTGTGAATTAAAAAGGGAGGCATGTATCAATACATTAAAGCTGGGGTTGCTAAGACTGGAAAAGCTTTATGGAGAGAGAACAGGCTACAATGTGCAACCAATACACCCCACGCCCTCCCATCAGCCCTCTCATCGAAGCCACGCCCCCAAAACACATGAATGTGCACTGACTGAAGAAGGCTTTTCTGTGACTTGCTCTCGTTAGCTTCTCACTATCGTCTCTGCCTCAGCGTTTAGTGTCATGCAGGTCTGAATTAAATGATTGGTCGTGTTTATTACAGTCATGCCAAGGCCACAGGCAGATTATTTATTTATGGCTTTGGGAAAATGAAGAGGATTCTAAAAAATATGATTTTAAGAAATTTTGTGGTTTAAAAGGACAATTTCCTTTCCCATTTGCATTTCAATTTCCTGCAGCTTTTCCTATCAAATGCTTGATTTACTGATTAATTTCACTTCTCTTTTCAACCTCAAAAATAAAAGTGTAATCGGCTGTGTGTTGAATGAGGTAGGGCAAAATAACTAACATTTGAGAAAAGGCAATAACATTTTCACTTGTAACTTGTAAAACTGTGAGTGCCAGGAAACAACAGACCAGACAGATTGGTTGTCCACTCCTGATAAATGTGATTAAGATTCAAAGCCTTGGTGACTGTTCACTACTCAGTTCAGTGAATATATGGAGAATAAGAACATCAATAACTGAGTGCAATCAGAGAGGGAGTTTGTTGTAACCACAGGGAGCCAGTGACTGAATCAGCTCACACAACAACAGTTCATCCCTTCGTGCGTATCGTATCATTAAATGCTGTTGTGTTTAATTCAAAGATCCCAGCTGTGACAGAAGATGTCAGAATGAGTCACTGACGATTACTTCAGGTTCATCGTCACTTTTTTCAACAGTGTGCGAGTGAAGATCTCTTCAGATAAAGCACACTGCACAGTATAGCATGTTAGTTAGATAGTATATTAGGACGCAAACATCTGAGTCAGTTCCACTGGACATATTTTCTGGATTTTTGCTGCCAGCCCCCCCCTAATTAAATGTCAGTTTGAGCCCATGTGAGAATGCAGCAGGAAAATTCACAGCGAACAAGTGGGCAAGAATACGAAGATTACAAATACCTGTGGATGAAAAAGAGGAGTCATACATGTAGAAGACGCTGACAAAGATGTCAACAAGATGTTTTTTTGGATGTAAGGACAAAAAACTAACAACAGTCTGTCTATAAAAAATGAGCTAATTCAGACTTCATGACTGAGATAACATAATGGCTTCTCTTTCACTGAGAGGAAAAGGTTGCGTGTGAGTGTTTGTCATCGTTTTAGTTTCAAAAAAAAAAAAAAAGAAGGTATGGGATGTTTTCTCCCTCATTGGCTCTCTTCATATCCTCTGACTCATTTTATTACAGAAGAATAAAGAAACCTGCTTCAACCCACTTTTATACCTCCTTTGTGTTCTCCCAGCTCTCTTGTCCAGAGCTTTGAGTGATAAAACTCAGTCAAAGGTATAACACTCTATATCTGCCCTTCATTATTGAAAAATCTTTACATATCTCAAAGATACCAATGTCATTGGCAAATATTTCTGTCTGCCACTTCGCTGTGACTGTCGAGCTGATGTCGTCTCATATTAGATTCACATTGAAACACTGATAAGATTATACATTTGGTCTTTTGTTTATATACACATATACAATATATATACAAATTTTTTTTATATTAAAAAATTACAGTTTACTTTCACTGGATCACGTATCACGCTGCAAGATTGTGAACCTTTGTATCGCATCGTATTTGTGTCTCGGTTTCAGGATCCTTAATGTTAGGTTGTAATTACTACTTAATACGTGTGGTGAACTTGGAGCTTCCCAGTGAAGTTTGCATTGAACTAATCTAGAGTATTTATTTCTCTGTGGATTAAACTCTGTACACAAAAGCCAATGGGGTTTTTCTGTTCTCCAACTATAATGAAACAGCTTTAAGTTCACAAATCAGTGGTGTCTCGTAAAAAATAGTTTAATTGCCATGTGAAAAATTAATTTCATGGATGTTTGTCATGGCTTTATTTCAGGAGACAACATGCAGAAGCTAATATTTATTCTTGGAACGTACAAGCTCTCTCTCTCATACACAGACGTAGAGGCTGGCTGCCACTCACGATGCCGCAGACATGGAAATTCATCAATGATGTCTCTCATCAGAAACCACATGAATTAATTTCAGTGATTACTGGGGTAGAGTTGCAGGAAATGATCCCACTGCCTGTTCAAACTCACAGCTCACTCAAACCACACTGATAGACAGGACATAGCTTAAAACACATTCACTGAGAACATCACATCACTCCTGCAGATTTATCAGCTGTTTACTCATGTAACCTGTGGAGTCTAGCGATGTTTGCAACCTCCTCTCCCATAGAGTACACCAATAGAGAGGGGATGATATTAAAACACATCCTCCTTACAATTTCTACATATACGGAGCCCCTACGCAAATTTAAAAAAAAGTGTTTTGGCGTATGATTGTATAACTAAACCAACGAGTAAACTTAAAAACCCAGTAATAGAGAAGCTAACATTACAAAGGGGTCCATGTACCAGTTTATGAAACTTTTGTTTTGTGACATGATGCATACCTGCTGAAGGTAGCCATTTAGAAGACAACTCAGCTGTGGCCAGAAAAGGATGACCGTGGCCAACATCCACTCTTAGAGGCTCTGGCTTTCAAACAATGATTCACTAATGTTAAGGGACCCAAAGTTTGCCCGGAATATCTTCCCCACACATTAAACTGTCACCAACATCCTGGATGATTGACACAAGGCGATTCATGCTACTGACACCAAACTCTGACCCTCCCATCTGCAGCCACAGCAGAATTCAGTTTCAGGAGACTTGACTGTGGGTCCACTGCAGCCTTTCATATCTGTTGTTGGCCGACAGGAGTGTAAACTGACATTGTAGACAGTTTGCCTCAAGGGTTCATGTTCGGCTTATTATGAGATACTTTTCCTCTCAGCACCGTCAGAAAGAGTGCTTATCTGAGTAACTGTAGCTCCTGATTGTTATCCTCTGACCTCTTTTCTACAAGACATCTGCAATGCTTCCACTCACTGCATGTTCGGGTTGGACAAATGGACGAATATATTGTCTTTCTGCCATCGGCTGAGTACATTGTCGGTTGTTTTTATTTGGGCAATTTTGTCTTTGCAATTTCTAGTTTGCAAATGTTACGTAAATATAAATAAACCAGGAACTGGCACTTATTATGTTATATGTAATATTAAGTCATTATTCAGTCCATCCCAACTCCACTCTGTCACTTTGGTTTGTGGACAGTATAAGACTGAAGATAGAGGAGGTCTCTTATGTCACCTAATGTTATCTAGGATTTGGCTGAATGGCTTTTGCCCCTGAATAACCATGGATGGATGGATTGGTTTTAATAACGCATACGTTTTTTAAGCTCACAGGAATTTAATCAATTGAGATTCAATGAAAAATGGATTTATAGAGACTATTGATCTGAAGCAAACACGTCTCATTACCAGACCAAGTGACCACAGATATGAACAAACATGTTTACATAATCTTGTTTTATTTGTATGAACATTTCATTGATGAATTCACTGACTGATTCCAGCTTGCCCCTGATGACGCCTGGAAGTGTCCCCACTGTAAAAAGTTTCAGCAGGGCATGGTGAAGATGAGCCTGTGGACTCTCCCTGACATACTGATCCTCCACCTCAAGCGTTTCCGACAGGTAGGATGCACTAATCACCAATAGTTTTTTATTACAGATTTCTGCTGTACCTGAACTGCACCAAACAGCCAACACCCAAACTTAGCAACAAGCTGGTAAATAAGTAGAATACAGCAGCTATAGAGTCTGATCTTTCCTTCAGGAGAGAGAATATTGGACAGATGGTCAAACACACAACTCTAAATGAATGCTCATGTCCCTCCATTGGGTATGTTTTCTAGAACACTGCCAAAACAATTATTTGATTTTATACAGTTTGTTTTTCCAGTCTCCCATAAGTGGCCAAAACATTATCATAATTATCCAGATTTTCTCAGATTTTTGAGTGGGCAGCAAGATCAACAGCTATATATCTGAAATGAAGACATTTCTCTAGGATGCTTTTCAGCTGCTTCAGACCCTCAACTCGAGAAGCACTGCATTGATCATGTGACATACCTTCCTCTGTACATCCTCCCAATTGAAGCTGCAAAGATTTCCCATCTCTCCCTTTGCTCATCAATGCCTCTGCTGCCCTGTCTGTCGATTCAGCCCCTCCACCTCCTCAGCATCCTCCTGCAGCCTTCGACAGGGGGGAAATCAAAGATATTTGCTCATCACTCCCCTTTATATTCATGTAATCATATCCTGGGGTGTATTGAAGTTGGAGCCTAGATGCCAAACTCTAACTATGTACTGCTGCTGAAATAAACATTTCAACCATGTGGTGTATGACTGAAACATGCTGTGGAAAATAGGAATTTGGGCTATGACTGTTTTAGGGCAAATAATGGAATATACCATCTATACCATCTATAGAATCATTAGAAAAGTATCTAGCATTACTGGGTTTACCATCACCCTTCCACTGCGTCTTAACAACACAATGTTCTCTAGCAATGTCACTGTCCTCAGCCAGGCAATTATAAAGGAGTCAGTGCAGCGTATCCCTCCTATCCACAGCTAACAAGCTTGTCTCTTTGTCTGGAGCCATGGGAGCATGAATACATAAATACACAAAATATAGATACCTGCAGACCAGCGACATCCCCTCATAACCCTCAGATAACTAGAAGAAGTTATTATGCGACCCACGCTTTAAAGTCAGCAGAGGTTTTGTTCGACACATTCACCATAAATAAATGTGCTGCTACCCAAAAGAGAAGCTAAAGAGTCCTGATCGCCCCTGGTGGTTGGCTGCGGTATAGGTCTGCAGCCGCCTCAATGTTAGTTTATGGGTCATGAACCAAACTAAAAAGTCAAAGTGGACAAATACATTTTTCTCAGAGTTGAATTATATATGTACAACTGCATATTTTTCCAGTAAATTTGTTTTTAAAGAGTTTTTTGATGCCTTAAAACGGGGTGAAACGTCATGATTGACAGCTGATAGTGACCCAGGATTGGTGGATCACCTGTATCGAAGGGGACTCAATGCCACAGCTCCTCACATAATAATAAAAGGATATTATGAAGATGATTCTGTCCGCCCCTGAATTACTGCTCATCAAAATATCTGAACAAGTATCTGCCCAGTGGCACTGCTCACTTCAGCCAAGTCCAGAAAAGGAGACGGTCCAATTCTATCAGGTGTCATTTGAACAGATGGCATCACACTGCTCACATACCAAAAAGCTTCATTGAAGCCAAGGTTAAGCACACCAACACCTGCACCTCCGTCCAGTAGGTCTCATAAGCAGGTGGCACCAGTGTGCTCACTCAGGCCCCAGCCAATGCCATCAGGTGCTTGCCTGCAGCCTCTCATCCCAGGCTGCCCTTTCCCTCCAGTATATTGCATTTAAATGCAGACAGTCACTCTGTCAGACTCTGTGTCTAGGATTTACATTTGCATAGTAGACTTTTCCAGGAGTCAGTGATCAGCACAACAAAGTCCAGACCCTTCTTTTATGATAAGGTGCTGATCCATAGTGATTAGGTCTCCAGTAGAAAAAAGGTGAGATGAGTCATATTGTACAGAGAGCGGCTGCTGCACTTCTATCAGTGGCTTCAATCCATCTTCAATCAATCAAATTTCAATCAAACCTCAGAGCGAAACAGAGAGTTAAGTCAAAAGCAGGTGTTTTTTGTTTTTATCTTTTTCTTCAGAAAACTCTTTATTGTCATTATCCACAGGTACAATGACATTGTAAAGGGTGTGTGTGTGTGTGTGTGTGTGTGTGTGTGTGTGTGTGTGTGTGTGTGTGTNGAGAGAGAGAGAGAGAGAGTGAGTGAGTGAGTGAGTCACGGTCAATGATGTGTGTTTGACAGTCTGCGGGCAGGGACAATTGTGATGGAGGTCACAGCACGAGGATAGAAGCTGTTCTTCAGTCAGTTGCAGGTGGATCTAAATGTCCTGAACCGTCCATTGGATGGCAACGAATGGAACACAGAGTGGCCACAGTGTGTGCGGTCCCTGAAAATACTGTTGGCATTCTTCTTTAGTCGGTCAGCATATGTAGTGTCCAGGGTCGGGTTCCCACCATTTCACTGGTTTCACATGTGGTGCACGGCTCTGCAGATGTACCACACAGTGACGCAGTTGGTATGGATGCTGTCATGCCCCTGTAGATAGTGGACATCGGTGTCAGTTAGAGCTGGACCTGTTTCAACTACCTGAGGAAAAACAAGGGTTGTGGTCAAAACTGCCTGAACATGTATTGTGGCCGTTTTACCATTCTCTAAGTTCTCAGCAAAATCCAACATACTTATACTTCAGGAAGCTGCATGGTGTTTTTCCAGGATGTAACAGGTGATCCAAATTTACATATCAGGAACATTACCGATTTGATGCTTTGTCAAACACTGTAAAAAACTTGTGTCAAACCACAGACTGCATATAAACATGTCAACACATCTGCGTTAACTCGCACTCGCTATCAGTATATGAAGCCAAAACATATAAATTTGTCACAGTAGCAAATTAAAACCAAACTGAACAGAAAAATAAACCCAAGAAACAAACATCAGTGTGATAAGAACTACTTCAAATGACTGAAGTCATCTTTAATAAAAATGTATAATGTGTATTTTGACTTTTTGATTTTGGCCCATGTCCCATCCACTAACAGGAGTGGTGGTTTATAAGCAATTCTAAAGCCAGCCACCAGGGGTGATCAATATGATTTGTCTTCACTTTTGGGGAGCAGTCATGTTTATACACAATCTGCGTTTCAAATCCAAGCTCTACTGACTTCACAGCCTGTTATTAGCACTAAAAGAGAATGAATAAAAACTTTGTTACTCAACAGGTGGGTGAGCGCAGGACTAAGCTGTCGACCTTGGTGCGTTTCCCCCTGACTGGACTGGACATGGCCCCCCACATGGTGAAGAGGAGTCAGAGTATGCGGAACCTGAACCTGGGGGCATGGCCACCAGCCTGGAAGCAGCCATCAGGACAATACCCCGACATGACCCTGCCACAAGACTATCAGTACGACCTCTACGCTGTGTGCAACCATCACGGAGGAATGCATGGAGGACATTATACAGGTGTGGAACTGACTAGTATAATATTTATATATAATATTATTTACTGCATGAAACATCATTCGCATTTACAAATGTGGGTTTTATACTTTTACCATTGACTGTATTTTTGACAGTTGAGCAGACACCAGCTGCTTTAAAACTTTTCCTCAAATAATTTGTTATTTATAGCCTATTTACGTTGCTATGGATACTTTTAGTTTCAGTCTATAATTAGTTTTTCATTGCAGAGGCCATTCATGAGTTTGAATACACATATCAACTCTTCCCAAGCACATCCAGACTATGTTTTTCAAAATAGTCCAATATACTTTGTCATAATTGGAAAGTGAGATGTGAGCATGGAGCTAAAACGAATCCACAATCCTGTTCATGTCGGAGGCATTTTGTAGTCTTATATTATTTTCCTTCAACTTCTGTAAGACAATTTCAAATATACTGGATAGGTGATGCAATCAGGCAACGAGGCAGGATGGGAAACTTGATACAAAGTTGACACACTTGCCCTGTGTTTGCATGCGGGTGTTCGGTTAAGAAACAAAACTTTGAGGATAAATGTAGGAGAACTGTAAACATCAGGAGATGTGGAGGATGCAGCAGCCGTCGCCATGACAGCTTGCTCGCACAACCGTATCCTCTCACTTGAGTTTTTCTGGTGCACTATGACATGGTTACAGCACGATAAAAGTTAAATATGGAATAATTACAGTGTTTTAACAGTTATACTCCACATTGAAACCACAACATAAGAGTTCTCATAGATTTGTTTATCCAGGGAAGATTGACTGAGCATTAAGCTCACACGTGCTGTGCATTTATTTGCTGCAATAAGCAGAGCTAAAGAAATAACTCCACTGCAAATGCATTATTGATTTGAGGAGAGCAGCTCAGCGTGTCGGCCAGCAATTCTTTGTTTATGTGGCTTTGCAACTTTGACAAGCAGAGAAAATAAATAGTGTTAGCCATACACTCACTGCAGTGAAAGACTTTCAACCCAAGCACTACTACTGCTACTACTACTACTACTACTACTAATACTTCTTGCACTACTACTGACAGCCTTTTTCTTCAAGTTTTACTTGATGAAGTTTGAGGATTTTCTCTGTGTCACTTGTTTTTGCAGCTTACTGTAGAAATTCAGTGGATGCCCAGTGGTACAGTTATGATGACAGCAGCGTCGACCTGGTGCCAGAGGAGGAAGTATGTACCAGAGGTGCTTACATCCTCTTTTACCAGAGACGCAACACCATTCCTCCATGGTCGGCCAGCAGCTCAATCAGAGGTATGCTATCAGAATACTAGCAAACAGGATTACATGCATAATTCATTGGATAACCAAACACATGATAAAATGGATATGCTTCTATGTATGACATGAATGTATGAATTTATGTATGTGCATCAAACGCAGACATTCAGGATAGACTTTTGCAGTTAGATTGGAGCAGTATTATAGTAGGATTACACCCAGGGGATAGTCTCACACAGCCAGAATTATCTTCACATCAACGTGGCATGCTGGAGACGAGTCTGGCTGCAATATTACAAGAATAATCAACTTACTTAGAAGAAAGTCATAATATTTCAAGAGGAAAGTCGGAATTCAGTAGAAAGACTGCAGTCCCCTTCTAAAATAACACATGAAATTATGACTTAATTTTTGTGATGTTACGATTCAATTCTCATTGTAATATGACCTTATTCCTAAAATCTCTGTTTTTTCCTTTTAATTGGACGTTATACACCATTGTAGTATCTAATATCATCTTGGGCAGCACTTAGCTTAGGATGCAATGACTGTGCCTCTGCAAAGTAATGTCTTTGGGTTTTTTTGTAACTTCTTAATACAATGACAGCACAGGCAGTTGCTCACCACCTCGGCATCTTCTTCATACTGGCTGTTATTCAACAGTCTCTACCGGTTCTTGAATTCCTGCTTCATTGATTTTCCTCCTTTAACAACCTGCTGGTAAAAAATCTCAGGACTGCACATGTAATTAACCAGTTTAATGAGTTTTTTGTCAAAGGCAGGAAAAAGACCTCGAAATGCCCTGAAGAATTTTCACTGTAATCTAACTCAGCATAATAACTCTCATGCATAATATAGAATACACGTCTACATAACTTGTCAGAGGAAAAAAGTAAGTATTGGCAAATATCGAATGTAAAACTTTCTACTTTGTTCCTCAGAACAAGATAAATTGTTTATTTTGGTGTCATGCCAAACATTCACCCCAACAGTTACTGCTTCTCACAAAGAGAAACAGTATGGGAGCCAAAATGAGACTAGAGCTTATTTTTTCAGTTTTGTGTTTATAGACCAGAAAGCAGCTCCTAGAACACTGTGTACAAGTAAAGCTGTGACATTAGCATCAATTACAGTTTCCTATTCCACAGGGCAGAGCAGGGTGTACTGAAGGAAACTTTTAGAAAATTCTGTGAGAGAAAAAAATAACCTGTCCAGCTATATAGAGAAAACGCTGCACTGCGTGAATGTGTGTATGAATGGGTGAGTGGTAAAACCATAAAACACGAACAAAGTGTTCATCAAGACCAAAAAGGCATAAAAGGATAAATCAATATAGACCATTTAAGTGAAGAGCTCAGAGGTGTTTACAACAGAAATATGAATCTAAAAAGTAAATGCAAGGAAGATAATGGCAAAGAAACACAACAATGTGTCCAACAAAAGATCCACAAAGATAAATCATGTTATTCTGAAAAGGCGCCCATGCCAGCAGGTGGGCTGGCAGGTGTTGCACATAGAGGCTTGGGTCCTCCTGCAGCGGCTACACCTTTGGTATCCACCTGGCCTTTTGCTGCTCGTCTTCCCCAATCTCTCTGCCCATTACACTTTTACTCTCTCATCAATAAAGGTGAAGTTCACAAGTCTCTTCAAAGGACAAAAGCATTGCATCGAGGAAAGAGTCTGTCAATCACATACATTTATACAGTACGATTAATGAAAATGTGTTTTCATGATATTTTATTTAGCAATGTTTTTCAACTGTTTGTCATTATAAAACCAACAATGTATGACATGCCTACTGCGACTGACAGGGTTATATATGGAAGGAAAATCACAGAAATAACAACAGTGTGCTGTGTGCAGATGAACTCTTGTGGCTGCTCAGAGGAGACCATGGCAACGTAGATACTGGAAATGTCAGAATGTCTCCAAACATCAATTTATAAACCTTTATCAATATAAAATGTCCTTCCGTTCACAGTACAAGTACTATCTATACAAGTGACCGAAAAAAATCACATATCAGTCAGATTTAGATATTAGGGGAGTAAAAGTGAAATTCACATTAAAAGCTGTATGGGGGGGATTTAATTCCAAATTTCTCCTGATCTACATGACGTCCAGCATTATCTCTGTCTGAGCTGAATTACACCTAGAAAGGAAAGAAGACAAAGATTCACTTTGTCACATAGCCCTGTGGAAATATGTATTTAATGTATTATTTTACACATATATAAGCAAGTTTATTCACATTCCATAACCTTTGAAAAAAGATCGCTATGTACTATAATATGTGAGGTGTTAGTTCTGTTCCCACATGCAAAAACAATCCCACTGTATCATATTGTAATGTTTCCATGGCAGCCTCCTCCCAATCAATAGGCTAAGTTCCAGTGAAGGTTTTCTTTTGTTCAGCTGAGAGAGACTTGCACTCACAGGATTTAATTGTGTTGGTGTAATCCCTAATCCCCCCCACAGGTACAAGCTGGTGTTCAGACGATAAAGAGACACAAATAATAAAATTGGGGTTAGAACTTATTAACTGTATTTCCACTGCAGCTAGATACCCCATTAAAGCACTTTCAGATTTGTGCATGAGTAATAAACAATAATGAAACCATTACAGGGGCCAATCTGCTCTGTCTGGTTTAAACGGTTTGAAGGACTTATAATAGCCAGGAATGTAATTTACATCATAGATTTCATCTCTTTCTGGTTGTACAAAGGTAATTTAAGTTTAAACATCAGCGCTTTCCGTTGAGAAGTGTTGTTTATTTAATGTTCTCAGTGTATTCCCTTTCTTCCTGTGTGTCTCACAGGCTCGACAAGTTCATCAATGTCAGACCATTGGCTCGTCCGCCTCACAGTGGACAGTAAGAGAGGCAGTCTGGTGTCTCGATCGTCCACCACCTGCCCGTCTTCCATTCCCGACTCTCCAGAGTCTCCCGTCTTCCTCGACGATGGTTGTAAAGAGGAAAAGGGTAAGGGAGCACACCCAACATTTGCCCTAATCAGTTTAGTGGCTTATTGATTGTTTATTTCGAGATCGTTTCTGTGTAAAGGTCTTGCATTTGAATGAGAAAACTAAAGATTTTTTTTCTCTAAATAATTATTAGGAGGTTTTGAGACCAGGCCATTTGTCAGGGGTCTCGAAGGGCGCAGCAAGAGCATGAGAACCCACAGCAAGACTAAGGACACCCTGAGCAAAGTGCTTCCCCTTCGCTGGTCCTTTGGTTCCAAGGACAGACGAAAACCTGACCCAGTGTCTCCCCTGCCGGATCAAGATCCTGCTCCTGTCGAGCTAGTGCAGTACTTGGAATCTGGCCGGCGGCCCCGGTGCACAAAGGACCCAATAGTAACACTGATGAGCGAACCGCGCAGCACAAAGGAAGCAGCTGAGGCCCATGCTGTAGCTAATGTCCAACCTTCAAATGTTGGGAGTAGGAGTTGTGTTGATAAAGCAAAAGATGGGCAGCAGCCAGAGTCTCCACAGGTACCAGAGGGCCAGAGGAGATCATCGGACAAGACGGCCAGCCTGAGACGCAGCAAGGGGAGCCAGACAAGAGATGAGAGCACCTTGAATATCAGCAGTAGCTCTAGTACAAACACCCTCACCAGAAGAAAGGATTCCAGGAAGCAGAGCTCCTCCAAAGCTTCCCAGGATACTGAGACAACAAGGCGTTTCAGTGCTGGAGTTCAGCCCAGCTACAGCACACCCAGTCTTCATGATGGGACCCTAAGAAGACAAAGGGGAGACAGGGCTGAACATCCCGGTGCATTTGATGAAAGCTCTAAGACCAAGAGAGGAGAAGTGCCCAAAAGTCACGAGGGACTGTTCTCCTTCTTAAAAGGCAACTTCTTGAAGAAAGATAAGGACCAGAGGAAGTCCAAGGAGGGTGAGTCAGGGAGAAGAGGAGGTGAGGAAGGAGGCAGAAGGACGCTGTCAAGGCTGTCACTTTCTAATGGAGCCGTGGGAGGCAGAAGTGGGGCAGAAAAAGGAAAGTCTAATGGATCAGGCCATGTGGGTGATGAGCTGGCAAATGGGAAAGTTGGACGTACGACGGTTGACATCAAACGCTCCCAGAGTCACTCCAACATCCCCACCAAGGCGGAGCACAGCATGCACAGGACAGCATCTTTGCATCGCAACGGCATGTCCACAGCCCCGGCACCGTCACGCAGCCTGACAACGGATAAACCATCCTACGGCACCCTGCAGAGGACTCGTTACAGCACAACCTCACTGGGGCGCAAAAAGACAGTCCCCGAGTCGAGCTTCTGACAGAGATAGCTAACACACACGCAGCCTTGTACCTAATTAAGAGTGAATGGCGTCCTGTCTCTGAGATCAAAGCAATAGAGCTAAATTTACAGTCATATGCTTTTTGTTCCCAGAAAAGGAACAAGCAGAGACAGAGCAGATGAAGAGTTTAAATGTTGGGATATAAAGAACAGAATGAAATGATGTGACATGTCCATCACTTGTCAGAGGAAGTCCATCTCTGTTCGTTTTTTTTTATCACTTGAAACAAGTGCCTGAGAAACCTATATGCAGTTTAGACCAATGAGTTTGACTTTTTAGCACTGGAAGCACAGAAGCCCTTACATACAAACACACACACAAAAATGCACATACAAACAGAATATCCACATTATTACTGTGATGTGAGTGTTGAAAGTCCTAAGTTCATTTGGAATTCCTCTGGTTGTTTGCTCACACGTTAGACACGATGATTGTTGTCATTTATCAGAATGTCGTGAAGCAGTTTCGATGAACATAAATAATTAATGTTAAATCCCCTGTTTAATGTTTGTTTAAAGTACAGTGTGGCTTTGAACAAACAACATTGATTGACTCTGACTACAGTTACCGCTTATTCCATTTTAAACCAGAAGTAAAATGATGCAAACATCTTAGAGGAGAGATGTTTTGCTTTTTATGTTTGTCATAGCTCAACAGTTGTGTATGTAAAAGGTCTGCAAAGGGAAAAAGCCTTAAGTCTGCAGTAAAATGAGCGAGGAGCTATGAGGGTAGGAGTGTAATTCTGTAGAAGCACCGATCTCGATCTCTTTATTATTAATTGGCCAAGAAAATGAAAGTCTACCAGGACCTGTAGTGCTTTGTGACTAACCTCTCTATAGTAGAAATAAATGAAAAAACACAGATTTGTAAATTTAATATTAATGCAATATTGACCCTGAGAGGATGTTTGAGATAACATCAGTGAACTATATTGAATGCATTCCATTCTTTCTTTTTTGATCTCAATTCTTTCATTTATTTTTCTCGGTTAATGTTTTTCTCGTGCTATCCTGACTCAATCTCATGTGATAAACACTTCAGTCTGTAGGGTATGTGACGGTGTCAAGAGAGCTGAGTCAAAATGCAGAATGTGGCTGTGTCCTAATACGCTGTCAAATTGACAGCTGTCGAGAGCTAGAAAACTTGATGGTGGGGGATTTAAAGCTTAACCCGACATACACTGATTTAGGCTCAGCGTGGGAGTGCTGGTAATACTGCAGCCTGACACCGACAGCATATAGGCAGTTAGAGAGGGAAGTGGTGAAATGGGTGCAGAAAAGCAATACGTATCAATGTGCTTTGTTTTTTTAGCCTTTCATTTTTCCTACCCTGAACAGTCTAAACTATGGAAGACGTAGAATGCCTAAATGAAAACAGACCAAACAAGGAATGTAAAGTGAAAGCACAATAGACATTTTAATATATTTTCCTTTTTCTGTTTTCTGCCAGCTAGCTTTAATTAGCTAAATTACTGATAATGGTGCCAATATGACCTTGCTAATTGTGCGTTTGTCATCTTCTTGCAGAACATTGTGATTGTAACTAAAGGTTTCAGTCACCATCAGTGTCCCTTCAGCTGCTGGCCCACAGGAAACTATATTATTTTGAAAGGCTGTCTGCCATCTGATCATGTCCCATGTTCCAACCCATAGATTGTATATAAAGATGGACATCCTGACATTCCCAAAGATGAAGCCAAAGCCTCCTGATCGCCCTCTGGTGACTGGCTTCTGTATAGTTCATTAACTCCACCTCCTCCTTGTTAGTTGATGGGTCATGGGCCGAACTAAAACGGTACTTCTTATCACACTGATGTATGTCAAAATGTTAATTCTTCAGGTACATTTAAATTGACTTAATTTTTTGATTCTACAAAAAGCTGGGTGAAACGTCATGATTGACAGCTGACTCGATTGACTTGATTGGCTGAACCCCTGTTTCGTCGGGAGGTCGCTGCTGCCAGACTCTGGCCAAATGAGCACGATGATTTTTTGGCTTCACTTCTGGATAGTGGGAGGAAGTGTGTCATCCATCTTTATATACTGTCTTTGATCCAATGCCAGTGCCTCTTCATTTTATAATAGCACTTTATATTTGGTGTTGGCATGTTTATGTTGCCCTCTGCTGGACGACGCTGAAATGTATTACACTCACACCTCTCACCTCTTTAGTTAATGTAGGAAATTAGAATCTAATTACAGTCAATTTAATTGTCTTGCTTTTTTGAGAGCTTTTAATTTAGGCCTTTTAAATATCACATACAAATCGGAGAAGTGATTGCGGCATTATGAAGGTTCCTCTGTGCACTTTGTCTATCTAATAATCAAATATTGTGTTTATGTCCATTGGTAAGTTTAACCACTCCTACTGGCTTTTTTTTTTAAGCATAATTTTTCTTGCTTCCTTTTCCCCAACATCAACTTGCTTCATAATCAAACAGTTACTTGTTCACTTGTAAGAAACACAGGGCATACGTACTTTTAGCCACAGTATCACTGGGAGTGAAGTACATCCCTTGAGCTCACTTACATCACTCCTGGAGTGGAGCGCGATATTAATTTTCCCAGCCCAGATGTCCCCGGCCACTCCATAAATGCAAATAGTTGGCTTCCTAGTCACAAGTATCATTCAAGTTGGATAGTTTACAGAATAACAGGCTAAGAGGATTTCCTCACCTTCTGCTGTTGTGATATTTTGATTTTGTGTGTCAAATTTCCAGTGATGCCCTCTTAGACTACATTTGGAGATTTAATTTGCACTTTACACACACGGGAATGTTTTTTATTCAATATCAAAATAATTTTTGATGTGTATACAAGTTATGATGGATACTCAAATAACTTTAATTAATTTGGTGCAGCCCTCAGATAGTTTTTCTTTGGGAGCTTACCCGTATAATTGAATTTACATCAATGTGTTGATCTATGTTGGATAGTATTTGCAATTTAAATGGAGAGGAAAATGTTTGTTCACATGAGTTTATGAATGCCTCTGGAATGTATTGCCTGTTCAATAAGTATGTTATTCAGTTTCCCGTTTCAAAAGCAGGCTTAGAAATTTCAAAAAGCAGCACAAATAAAACTCGACACAAACACATCCAGTGCCCAGATGATAGTTTGCTGAAGACTTGTCATGACGCCTCAGTTCGATCTGGTAATGTTAAAGCAGTATCAAAGTTGATAAATTAACTTTTTATTGGGAAACATTTTATTAGGGAGCCTGAAAGGATTTAAATGAAACGGCACAGGTTGCGTTAAAGGTGGTTAATGTTACTGCAGGCAGTCGCTAAATTATAAACCCAATTTTTACGATTGTTTTTTTTGCAGAATATTTATATTCCTGTAACAAATTAATATTTGCAAGTGGCATGTCAACTACTGAGATGTATGTATAATGTATTGAGGGATATGGACCAGCTGAATCACACAAACCTTGCACACACACCACATTTATTTTCATTATGCTGTACTTTTTTTAGCCAGGTAAAGGTGACTAAGCAATAAGAGTTGAATGTCTTACTCATTAGTGTTTGTCATTTGCACAAGGTTTGTTGAGCAGGATTAAAAACTAAATCTACTTTTAAACTACAGGTTCAGACACTTAGTTTTGTCCTATAAATGTCAAGAGGCGTTGATGCTGGCTTTGTTGTGGCTGCAGCTGCTTTTAGACCGCCCTCCACAATGAGATTACTGAACCTTATAAATGGAAGTGGTTTGGAAGTTTGCTGGAAATTGCATCATAAAATAAATGCAAACATGAAAGAGGCTGCTCTCTGAAATATATGAGAAAATTACTCTGAAATATGTGAGAAAATTAATGTGAGCATTAAAATGCTATATTCTGTAGGAAAGCTGATCCATATCTGAACGACCATTATCTCATAATAGTAATTATTGGTAGTTCTGAATAAGAGCATGTGCTTAGATACAAATTATTATAGATGCTGATAAAAGCTGATTATTTCCATCTTTACAGTGAAATCTATACTGTAAAAAAAACACCGAAGTGCAGACTCCTCCCTGCTGTTCAGAAGCATCGGATAATTCCTTATACAGAATAATTTGAATTAACTTATATCTTATTTTTCCTCTGATGATATAGTTATACATTACAGTGTATTTGAGAGATCAATGCTGTTAAAGTAGAACATATAGATTTTAAATAGGGACACAAAGTCTGTATAAATTTAAACGTTTGTGTCTGTTTTTTTTCTTTCCATGGCTCAATCCACAT